AACAAAAACAACAACGACACCATCTACAACATCATTATCACCAATAACAACAACAACAACATCATCAACAACAACAACAGCATCGCCATCAACATCATCATCATTGTCAACATCATCATCATCATCATCATCATCATCATCAACAACAACAACAGTATCATCATCATCAACAACACTATCATCATCATCATCATCATCATCATCATCATCATCAACGACAGTATCATCATTAACAACAACAACATCATCATCATCATCATCAACAACAACAACAAAAACTCGTGATATTGATGTTTTGCAGGGAGGGTATGTTGCAACGGTTTGTTGAACATCTGGAGAGTACCAGAATATCCAATCAGCTCCACCACGAGAAGACCGTTGCTCCAGAGCCACCACATCACAAGAGAACCACGACCCGACAGAAATATAAAACACACATTATTCAGTAAATATGTACAGATGGTGCAGACCCGTTCTGCCCACAGATACCGACAGCAGAGCGTTAAAGGCAGCTTCATCGGCCTTGCATTGCTGTGCTGCGAAACTCGCCTCGGAGACATATCATGCCGCTGTGCTGCTCAACGAATGGCCACCTCCAACACCCAAAATAGACAAGGCAGAGGAGAGTTTGCCAAGAGCGTTGAGAAGAAAACTGGCCCAGCTCCGCTCTGGTCACTGCATCTCTCTCAACAGCTACAGATCGAAAATAGACAGTGGGGTCAGCAACATCTGTCCAATATGCCAGTTGCTTCCTGATGATGTTCCCCATCTGTTTAGCTGCCCAAAGAACCCAACTCATTTCACGATAATAGATTTCTGGCGTAACCCGGTGGCCGTGGCTAACTGGCTACGGCCTCGTCTGGATCCCTCCAATGATGTCTGACGCAGGGCAACAACAACAACAACAACAATAGTATCATCATCATCAACAACATCAACAACAACATCCTCATCATCATCATGCTAACCATCTCCTCCCTCAGTGAGTGATCAGCATTCTCCAGGTAGGCCAGCATCTCGTAGACGATGACGGCCACGTTGTTCCTGTCACACATGGCATACAGCAGGTCGGCCGCCCTCTGCCTCACAGCAATGTCCTTCTCAGTCTATCGTTTTGTATTATATACTTAATTACTACTACTACTACTGCTGCTTCGGCTAGCTGCTACTGCTGGCCACTACTACTACTGTCGCTAGTACCACCGCTACTACTACTTTTACTACTACTACTACTATTACTACTACTTCTACTACTACTTCTACTTCACTACTACTACTACTACTACTACTACTACTACTACTACTACTACTGCTACTACTACTACTAGTAGTAGTAGTAGTAGTAGTAGTAGTAGTAATAATAATAATAACAACAACAACAACAACAACAATAATAATAATGGTAATATTTAATACTAATTTACTACCATTAATAATTAAGATTATTACCTTGAGAGCACTGAGAACGAGCTCCTGGTGCCTCTTGACAACATTGTGGCTGTACTCCGTTGTCGCCAGCAGGCACAATCCTTCCAGAGCCAGGAATCTGTTACACAAAACAAACGATGAAACAAACACACTAACTAACGAACGAACGAACGAACGAACAAAAAATCACACTAGCTTACTAACGAACGAACGAACTAACGAACAAAAAAACACACTAACTAACTAACGAACGAACGAACGAACGAACGAACAAACGAACCTAAGGTTAATCTCTCGGTGAATGAGGAAGTTGCCGAGAATGTTGCACGACCTGACGAGCAGCAGCTGATCGCCATCGACATGAACGATCAGATTGATGGCCTCTAGAAGGACGGCGTTCTTGGCGAAGACGTGCTGCACTTTCTTCGACTTCAGCGACTCGTGGTTCTTCTGCAAAATGTGATCCAGCACCTCCACCAGTCGATTTTTCTCTACAGGACTTTCTACAGAGATGTATTTGTAGTAGTAGTAGTAAACGCAACAGCAGTGGCCACAGTAATAGTAGTAGCAAACGCAACAGCAGTGGCCACAGTAGTAGTAGCAAACGCAACAGCAGTGGCCACAATAGTAGTAGTAGAAGCAAACGCAACAGCAGTGGCCACAATAGTAGTAGTAGCAAACGCAACAGCAGTGGCCACAATAGTAGTAGTAGTAGCAAACGCAACAGCAGTGGCCACAATAGTAGTAGTAGCAAACGCAACAGCAGTGGCCACAATAGTAGTAGTAGCAAACGCAACAGCAGTGGCCACAGTTGTAGTAGTAATAAAAGTAGAAGTACAGTAGTAGCAGTATTTAAACGAATACTTAGTACAAAGAAATCATGTTGACGTGAGAAATGGTAGTGGTTTGGTTAAAATTCAAAGAGAGCCATGGCGAGTATAAGCACCTTTTTAGGTAGGCTTATTTTACAAAACAATTCCTACCGACAAACATTACAATACATAAAATTCATATACTCCTCAGCAAAAAAATAAAAATAACGTAATAATTACCTACATTACACAAGTTACACCTTCGTCCGTAGGCTTACATATAAATGCACACATACATCAAATAGTTAATGAGAAATACATAAATCAATCTAAAACAAAAATCATCCAGCCAAAATTCACAGACAGATAGACTGACTGGCAGAAAGATAGACTGGCCAAGAGACTGACAGACAGAGAGACAGACAGACAAGCAAACGAACGAACGAACAAACAAACAACAAATACCTCTGAAATTGAAAATCTGCAGTAGTTTCAGCAGCTTAACAGAGAGCCATGGGGCAGGAATGAAGTAGTATGTGTAATCTTGCAAGTCATTCATTTGCGTCATCACTATCTGTACGTGTATGTATGTGTGTATGTATGTATGTATGTATGTGTGTGCATATGTATGTGTGTGTGCGTGTGTGTGAAGTATACGGACATATGAAATATTAAATGAACGGGAAAAAATGAATAAACAAACGAACGAACAAATGATTAAACGAATGAACGGACGAATGAATGAACAGACGAATGAATGAACGAACGAATGAATGAATGAACGAATGAACGAATAAATAAATGCAAACAGACAAACAAATAAGTGAGACGGACACACAAACCCTGTTCAGCCTGGATATAACGATAGGCACACAGGCTCTATATTCTTTAGGATTTTTGGTTGCAAGTACCTGTATAAGGCTGATTGCTGACGTAACTACGCCCTGGTTGTCATAATGATGTTGATGTAGTTGTGGAGGTTACGAAGGTGATGTGATCAACCAGCCAGCCAGCCAACCAACCAACCAACCGACCGACCGATTGACCAACCGACCAGCCAACCAACCAACCAACCAACCAATCAACCAACCAACCAACCAGCCAACCAACCAACCAACCAACCAACAAACCAACCAACCAGCCAGCCAACCAACCAACCAACCAAATCCTTATCATTTAGTAGATGTATCAGTCTAAATGCCCAGTTACTCATGCTAATGCATCCAGGATTATTCCTTATCAAGGACAAAAGGCACAGTGATGCACATTGTTTTATAGATTCCATAGAATCTCTACATAATTTAAAATAATAATAATATAACATAATATAATATAATATACTATAATATGATACAATATACTATAATATAATATAATCAAATCAAATATATTTTATATACCGGAATCATTGCAAAAGAAAAAAAATTTTGAATAACATTCTGGCTTGGAGACAAAACAAGTTCACTTATAATTCAAGTTCAATAATAATATAATATAATATAATATAATATAACATAATATAATATAAAAACATTATAATAATTATATGTGAGCCAGTCTTTTTGGTTGAAAGAGTGATTGCTGAAAAACTCAATAATTTCATAGTAAAAGATGATGATGAAGATGACGATGTCATTATTATTATAGTATCATGATGGTAAAGATCATGATGATGATGTAATCAAAATGACAATGATGTCACAAACAAACACACACCTACAAACAAAAACAAACACACACCTACAAACAAAAACAAACACACACACACCCGAACACATACAAACAAACAAACACATACAAACAAACACACAAACAAACAAGCAAACAAACCCAGACACGAGGAACTTTATGACATCGCCTGCAAAAGTATCACACATATCCCGACAGCCAATGTTAGCGATGCACTGCAGGGCCAGCATCTTGTATGTCACGTTCGAACTGGATAAATCAGACTTCAGAGATTGTATGATTAGGTTGATTAGACTGTTGGACCCTGATATAAGAACTGATATGAAAAGGTAACCCTGTATGATGCAAATTTATATCTTTTTAATTTCAAATCAAAATGAAATCATATATCATTTATTTACCAGAATAAAATCACCAGAATTTGTATATTCATATGTACATTTTGTCAATTTGTATATATGCAAGTACATTTTGACAATTTGATAATTTTTTTTTAGTTAAAATGGAAAAATTCCAAAAAATTCAATGATAAGAATGATCATAAAATATAAAATTGCTTTACAAAACAATTGTTATAAAGTAATTGATTGAAAAACTTGGTGATTGATTGATTGCTTGATTGATTGATTGGGTGAATAAATCAAAAAAAAAAACAAAAAAATATAGGTTTAGTTAGAGCTCTCCTGAACATTATATAAAAACAACCAAAACCTCACATTACAGTTTACACTACTTTGATGAACATTGAAAAAAATTTGAAAAAAAAAACAACTAAAGTATATTACAATTTGTTTTTCAGTGTACTTATTGCTACTCAACAGATTGACAGCTTCCATGTGGCCAAAGTCAATGTCATGCCCCAGGAGAAATATAAACAGGAGTTTGCAGATGTATTTTTTTCTTTGGTAACCGTCGAATGTTTTGTCGCCTAAATGAGTTTTGAAGTTTTCAAGTGAGTTAGTGAGTAAGTAAGTTAGTTCATAAAGTTTTTAGTTATAATACATTATATATATTTATTAAAAAAGTTGTTTCAGTCAATTGTTTTTTAATCTAGTGTTAATTAGGTTCGTATTCTAGTAAATTTAAATTAAGTTATTTGATTAATTGTACTTAATTATGCATACAAACTAATTAGATTATCTAGTAGATAGTAGTTTATTCTTCAATTTTAATTTTTTTTAAATACAATTGATTAGTAATAATTTAATTAAATAAATGAAAAAAATCAAAATAATTTTTTTAGAAAACCTTTGAATTTTGATCTAATGTTTGCCAGTTCTTTATTAATTCGCCTAATTTCTGCTTCTTTACTTTTACCTAATTAATTTTATCATGGCAGTTGAAGTTAAGAAGAAAAGAAGTTTAATTAAACATTTAAATTTTAATAATATTTAATTAATTTAACAAAAAAAACTTAAAAAAACTGACAGCTTCTTATATCAGATATGAAAACGGCCAGTCCACGCATTCCGTCACCTTTAACTGGCAACATTTTTATTATATTTAAATTTCAAAATGGATTTGAAATAATTTTTCAACTCTTATTGTTTGCTGAGTAATTAAAATTTAATTATATAAACTAATTAAGGTTAACGATCGCCCGATTTAAAAACCAACCGCATCTAAAAGTGAAACTTAGTAATGGAAAGCCGAAATTATTTTGAGTAAAATTTTAGATTTGAATGTGAACTATATTTTTAAACAATATTTAAACAAATAAAAATTAAAAAAATATAAATTTAATATTATTAAAAATACCAAAATTTACGTAATTTATTCTAAACGAGGCGTTTGACGCATATAATTAGATTACATTAATTGACGGCACCTAAAAGCGAAACTTCAATCATTCAATCAATCAATCAATCAATCAATTAGCTTATAAAGCGCTATTTCCGCGATGTTCAACAGCGCTCCTCAATGAATTTTGAAAACAGATGGGTCTTGAGATCCGCTCTGAACTTCGCAAGTGATGGAGAAATAGTTAGAGAAGTAGGTAGAGAGTTCCAGAGAAAAGGACCAGAAAAAGCAAAAGCAGATTTGGCAAAAGAGTGTTTAACACGAGTTAAGAAAAAGCGAGAAGAAGAAGACGATCGTAAACCGGGGCGTTTAGGTTCAATTAATATATCTGATAAGTACTTAGGAAATAATTTAGATTGAGACTTATACATGAACGTGCAAATTTTAAAAATTATTCTATATTTTATAGGTAGCCAGTGCAAGAGAACAAGATATGGAGATATATGAGAAAAGAAAGGGGCACGAGCAACTAGACGAGCAGCAGAGTTAAAAGCTTTACTTAAAGGATAGAGTATAGAGTCAGGAAGACCATAGTAGAGCGAGTTACAATAATCAATCCTAGATAAGACTAACGAAGTAACAAGAAGGAGAAGAGTAGGATCATCAAGAAAAGGCAAAAGTTTTTTTATTCTACGTAGATGAAAGTAAGAACTTCTAGCAACACTATTAATCTGAGAAGAGAGAGACATAGTAGAATCAAAGATAAAACCTAGACTACGAAACTTATGAGAGACATCAAGAGTTTTAGAATCAGGTAAGATAAT